AATAATAAAAACAAATTTTAATTTAAAGCATAATATTTTTTTATTAAATTAAAATTGGTTCCTTCAGACATATATGTGGTAAATCATATAAAATCATTTGTTATTATCAAAATATATTAAAATTATTTTCTAGTTATACTACTAAGTTTTTTATTTATTGTAAGCTCCACTTATCTAGTGCCAACTGTATTAATTTATAGTGTTGTACCTCTTATGGTATATGTATGTATGTATGTGTGCCTGGCACTCTATAAGCATTATAGCTCTTATTTTTTTATGCTCACAGCATGAATACCCCTACTCTGCTGGCGCTGTTCTCTTTTTGCCATTCATGCATATGCATATGTGTGCATTAGTATACGTACATGTGTGTGTCTATTAGCGTATGAGTGTGTGTGTGTATGTTGATATTTGCATTTGTTATTTGTCGTTTGGCTGCATATTAAATTTCCACGTTTTTTTCTCTTTCCTTGCAGAAAACAAAAGCGAATTTTAGCGCAACTTCTATTATTATTATTATTATGATGACGCCGGAGTCGAAGGCAACAGCAACAGCAACGGCAACGGCAACAACAACACCAACAATGGCGCATACACAAAAGCCAGCTGCTGCGTCGGCGTCGCAGTCGCAGCATTTATCAACACTGGCAATGGCGACTAAAGCAACAAAAGCGGGCAAAAGCTTTGCCAGCAATGCAAATAGCAACAACAACAATAACAATAATAACAGCAACAACAACCATAACAACAATAACAGCAAAAAGCTTGCAATAAATATAACGGCGACAAGTGTTGATAAAATTCAAATGCAGAAGCAACAACTACAACAACAACAGCAGCAGCAGCAACAGCAACAACAGCAGCAGCAACAACAACAACAGCAGCAGCAGAAACAGCAACAACAGCAGCAGCAACAACAACAGCAACAACAACAACAGCAAAAAAGCGCAGCAAACAGCATTAAAGTAAAAAGTGAAAACGCAACAGCAGCAACAACAACAACAGCAGCAACTGTAACTAATGCATTCACAACAACAACAGCAAAGGCATTGCATGCTTGCAACAACAACAACAACAGCATTAAGAAAGAAGCAACACCTCCAGCAACAACTGCGGCGGCTGAGGGCTCCACCACCATCACCAACAACAATAACAACAACAACAGTTCAGCATTTGCCTCGTCATGCTCATCATTCTCCTCCTCATCATCCTCGTCGTCTTCATCCTCCTCCGCTTGGTCGAACATTGAGGATGCGAACAGCAACGGTGGCGCCTCCGCCGACGAAGAGCATTGCGCCAACGAAGAGGCGCCACAAGCTGCTGCTGCTGATGCTGCCGCTGCGGCTGCTGCTGCTGCTGCTGCAACGACATCATTGATGATGACGACAACGCCACGCCCCGTACTTCTAACGGCCGTCAATGCCCACATCATCTGCCACTTGTGCCAAGGCTATCTGATCAATGCGACGACCATCGTGGAATGTTTGCACTCGTGTAAGTACCAAAAGACCAAGATAGAGATAGAGACGAGAAAAAGCAAAAAAAAAAAAAAAAAATCGAACCCCCCCTTCTAAGACACCCTTAGATACCGCGAATCCTTGGCACTTGGCGGCTAGGCGCAAAAGCTAATTAGAAGTAGTTAGCCAAGCGAATAGGAAAGGGCTCTCGACTCTGCCAAATACCCTGTGAGAAAATTAACATCCGTTGCAGTCTGTGTTTCAAAGGAAGCAGTTCAAATTAATTTATCGGAGCTTAAAAAGAAAAATAATATAAATAGTAAAGTATGGTGGTCATAAATCGATATTTATCGATTGTGGTTGAGGGAGATACATCTTAAATATATTTCATGATTATGAAAATGAGAAATGTCAGATTATCATTATCAAGTTTCTTACAGATAGGCTGATTCAAATGAATTTCGGTTATAATAAAAAATCGATTTTATATGGGAAATGGATTGTAGGTCATTGACAGAAATAAAATAGTATATAGAAAGAAACTATATAGAAAATATATAGACATATAGCATTTAAATGCAGCATTTGCTCTAGTAATGGTTATTCTAGGCAAATAATCGATAGTTATCGATTGTGTTTTAAAACAAATTTCTTAAGGAGCGGTATTTATCGATTGAGTTTCAGAAGTAAAATCGAATTATATTCAAGTTTGATATATATATTATATAAAAATTAATTGAGTAAATTGAAGAGCGGAATAGATATTTATATTATTTATCGATTAAAAAATAATAAAACAAAATATTTATTGGATCTTAGGAAGATATTTAACAAATATTATGGATGCAATATAGACCATTACATGGTGACATTCCCAAGCAACACATTACAATCTCCTCTTATCTATTTTCCAATTATTACAGGGTATACTAACAGGCAAAAGTTCAGCCTACCCCCCGTGCTTACCCTGTCTGTGCTCTGCCATAGACGCCAAGCCAGATGCTGCCTTGACGATAAGTTAATGGGCAACATTAATGAGCCTGCTGATGCCGATGCTGCCGCTTCTGCTGCTGCTGCTGCTGTTGCAGCTTCCTCATCTGCAGACTCCGGCTCCGGCTCTGGCTCACTCTGTTTAGCATAGGTCGAAAAACACAGGCTCGCTATATAGCCGCAAGTATGCTTGTGTCTAGAGAGCCGGAATGGAGTTAGATGTATGGCACATATGTCTGACTAAATAATTACAAATGGTTCTGCGAGGATGCTCAAGCTTAATAACTGCTGAACCATAAATCAGACAACTTTCAAGTGGAAAACTGAGACACCCTGACTCTACCCATTCTGCCCGCTCTCCCTCTCTACTTCCCTCTCGCTCTCTTGCTCGATTAGACCCAGACGGGTTTAAAGAAAAAGCAACGTTTTAGTTGTCTTTTGAACGATTTTTATGTTACTTCAATTTCCGGTTCGAGTTCAAGCTACAGTTTTTCAGTTTTTTGGTTTTTTTTTAGTGGCAGCACGCTTTTCACGCTTTTCCACGGCGACATTTTTCGCTCTTTTGTTGACTTTCAATTTGGCGCACACAAATGCAATTTGGTTTTATTGAACGAAATTTTTATGCTAGCGCAGCCAACTTAACAAGTTCAAGAGTTAAAGCAGCCAACTTAACTCGCTTGGAATGTGCTTTATGTTTTGGCAAGATGTCCACAATTTATTGTAGCTCGTCATTTAAATAGTTAAAGGGATAATAGGTAAAGTGAGCTATTAAACATTTGGAGTACTTTTGCAGCGTTGCCAGATAGTTTAGAAATTAGAAATTTATTTTGAAGTTTGAGGAAAATTTAATACAATCATTAGAGAAAGTTCTTTGAATGCAAGAAATAGTTAAAAATTTAGCTTTTGTTCAACCAACTCAATGATCACGTCATTCAGCGTTGCCAGATGGCAAAGAAGTAAGAAATAAGCTTAAGTATAACCGAAATATGATCCAACAGTTAGTCAAATTCCATACAACATTACAATAAATGCTTCCAGGTCTGGCTTATACACTAACTTATTGAATGCATGTCATTCAGTGTTGCCATATGGTACAAAATCGAGAAATTCGCCCAGTTATGCAAAATTGTATCCAACAATTGGACAAAGTTCTTTCAACAATGCAAAAAATGCTAAATAGTTTACTTCATTCTAGCGCTGCCAACTTAATTATCCACATGTCATTCAGTGTTGCCAGATCAGTGGCATTTATCTTTGCATTTGCTTGTCATATTCCACAATCGCTGGCAATTTCTTCGTTTTATGCACAAATTAGAGACATCAACTAGCAGACAAATTATGGCATTCGATTAACTGCGCATCCGACGCAAAATGCAGTTAGCCTTCATTCAATCTGTCAATCAGTTGGCCAGCCAGWCAGTCAGTCAGTAAATCTGTCTAACCACATGTGCCGATTGGCATTTCATGTTGCTCCCGAGGCACATTTAAATCTGTTGCACTCACAGCTCCACAGTGCCACATGTTGTTGACTGGTGCGCGCTACTGCTGCTGCTGCTGATAGTTCTACTCCTGGCAGCGTTGCCACCCCGTTCCATTGGCCATTCGCAGCGCACCGAATGGCTGCCAGCAGCAGCTGTTGCTCTGCTTTTATTTTATTTGTCCTGCTATTTTTGTTAACTGTGTTGCACTCGCCTCTGACTCGAGGCCATTTTCGTCTCGCACCAGCCCCGAACCACCCAACTGACAACAGGCTGAAGCCTCTGAAGAGCAAGCTCGTAGTAATGTCATTTTTTTTTACCATCCATGTCTTTTGGACTGACAGACAAGCGTAACAGGCGCTGCGAATGTGTTGCCCAGCCCAGCCCAGGCCAGGCCAGCCCCGTCTACCTATTGCTCCATATTTGCCCCTTCTCTCGTTTTACCCCTCTTCACTGTTGCTGCTGCTGCTGCTTCTGCTGTATCCTGTCTGGGTCCAGTCTCCAGTCTCTGTCTCACTTTGCTGCATGTTGCTGTCGCTTGGGTGACAGTTGTACCGAACGGACGGACGGGGACGCACAGCATCAGACAGACAAACAGACGGACTGCCATTGACGTTAAAGTCAAAACAAACTTTTTTCTTTCGTTTCATACCACGCTGCGAGTGAAGGGAAATGGGGTATGCACGTACTCTGTGCGTGATGTGGGCGTTATGTAGTTGAAAATGACGTGTATAATTGCATTAAAAAAAGGAGCTTTATATTAATGCTATAGTAGATTGAAGGGGGTAGAAAGAGAGCAGAAAGAATTAATTAAAAAAGGAAGAGGCAAAAATAATAATTAAATTAATATAAATTCTCATTTTAATCTGAATTTTTATAATGTAATTCCAAACTATTTTCCATTTTCATTTAAAATTTTGTATATATGAGAAAATCTACCATGAAATTTAGGATGACCATATTTGAGTTAACTTAATGAGCATTACCTGACCATAATTGAGCTATACATACGGATTCTAAGAGATCCCTTGTTTAGCTCACTTAAGCTACTTAAATTAATTTATATTAAATATTTACTTCATACTTCGTCTCAATATTTCAGCTTCTTAAGGCAAGTCCCTCCAGTAACTCAAATACAGAGTATCTCATAGTCGAGCTTTAAGCTTTAAAAAAGTTTTATACGATTTTTTTGCACAATTTTTTGTTTGTAGCTTTTTCTCGTGTGGCACGTTCGAATTGAATAGCTGGATTGCGTTGCTTTTGCATTTCCTATTTATTCTCTTCTTTTTTTGGTACATCGTATATCCATTTTGGGTAACTGTTGTGTGTGAGTGTGGGCGTGGCATAAGCCTTAGCAAGCTGCGTGCGTAACGAACACTAGGGGAATTATTTTTGCCAAGGTTTTACATAAATTTGTATAATTTCTAGGCGACCCAACGCAACACAGCGCACAATTTGTAACTGTTTTATTCGCAGCTCTTCATCACTGTCTCGCCCAGTATCTAACTCACTCTCTCTCTCTCTTTCTTTTTCTTGTCTATTTTGATTGCAGTCTGCCACAGTTGCCTCATCAATCACCTGCGCAAGGAGCGCTATTGTCCTCGCTGCGAGATGGTCATCAACAATGCCAAGCCCAACATCAAGTAAGTAAAAGACGCAATTCACAAAGATATAAAGATAGATATCTCTCTCTCTATATGTATCTCCTCCTATATATATTTGTATCTGTTGCTGACAACTGCAATTAGATAATATAAGAGCACAGCGGCAGCCTCCATTTGTCTGCGCAGGGCAAGAGTTTAATGCAGTTGAATAGCTCGTTGTGCGAGATAAGCTCTTGATATAGATTAGATTTTGACTTTAATAGAGCTTCTGACTGAAAATAACTGTTATTTATGGCCTCAAATTATTTACAGAAGTAAAAGTAAATATTTATTGGAATTTTTGTCAGCAATAAAAACAGTTTGAATCTTTTGTTAAGTAGTATTTTTTTTTTATCACCATCTTTATTTAATTTGAATTTCATTTAAATATACGAAATATTTTCTTCTTGTAATTTATATACCGTATTTAAATACTATAAATATATAAAAGTCTATTTACTTGTCTATTTTAATATTTCTCTTTTAAATCAATTTTATTTCATTCATTTTAATGTTGAAAATATGAATATAAATATATAAAAGAAAAAACTTCATTTTCTTTTTGCTTTGTTGTTGATTTATTTTTATTAATTTTCTTAATTTTTTTTCTGTTTTACTGTTGTATTTTTATTTACAGTAAATTTTATTCTCTTAATTTATTTATTTATTTATTTTTTTTTTTTTTCATTCTAATCATATAAGAATAAATTGCAAATATGACAACAAATATTTCTTATGTAGAATGTATTACATACGTAGCATTATTTGTATTATTTGTAGCAGTAGTATTATTTACATATCTAGTATTTTAGTAGTATTATTCATATGCAATTAATGTAGAGAGCTTTTTTCAAAGTCGTCTTCACTTTATTGAAATCTTCTACATCACTCTAAATCGCTCTCACTCTAAAATCCGAAATAAATTTGCTGCTGATCTTTTTTGCCCCCCGGTCGCCCCGCTGCCCCATTCGTTTTGGTGGTCTTCAATTTCGGAGTCCAATAACAAAACTCGTTGTTTCGTTTGGCCGGGTTAAGAGGAAGCAGGAACTCGGCTTGGCACTGTTTCATGTTTCGTGTCTCGTCTGTGCCTTTTGGCTTTTGTGGACTGTTTCCAGCTGCTTCTGTTGTTGTAGTTGTTGTTGCTGCTTCCTTTTCTCAGTCTTTATCGTTGCCTCTGGCCGTCGGCACAAGACCCGCCCGTTAATTATCTCTGTCTTCTGTTGTTCTTGTTGTTGTCGCTTTTTTTTTTCTTTTTCGATTTACTTCTTGGAAATGCGTTTGGCAAAATGCTGCCACGTTTTGTGGCCTGCAGTTTATCAGTTGGGCAGCACTTTTTTTTGTTGCTGCTTACTGCTGCTTTTTGTTTTCTTATTTAGTCTTTTGGGGCGTGGGCGCCACACATCATACAATACAATAAAAAAAAG